TTTCAGTCATCCTGTTTGAGAACCACTTCTCAGAGTGTGTTTTTGGCGTGTTGCTAGGAAGTTCTGGCTGGTTACTAGTTATTGGCTTACTGACTAAGTTAAAAGAGCCCACTTGATATCACTATACTATGGTCTCTAGATATGGCTTGGTTCATTCCTTTAATGTAACGGATAGTTCACCCAAAAATGGAAATTCTGCCATCATTTACTCCAAAACTTTATAAAAATATTTTTTAAAAGATATTCCGAAGAATCAACTGTTTTTGTCCACACAATGAAAGTCAATTGGGTCCAAAATAACACTATACCCTGTTGACTTTCATTGTATGGACAGAATTGTAGCAATAAACAGACTGAGTGCAGGACAAGATACATGTGGAAGTGTAATATGCGGTTATGGCTTTGTTAAAATCCCTAGCTCTATGATTGAGCTATAATAATGATCATGCTTGCCTTAGCAAACACCAGTGATGCATCTTAAAAAAGACTTGCCTCACTTGTCAGACTAGTTCTTGAAAATGGACTGGGTACATTCTTTTCTAAATGTTTGGAAATATTGATTTAGTCACATTCTTAGTTCTTACATTTTAACATCATAAATATAAATACTTGCTCAAATACACAGGAGATGGGCATTTGAATTAGGGTCACAGCTGTTAATAAGGCATGGGAACTCAGAAGAAGAAGAAAAAACAGCCCATCTCAAAGAAAGCAGGAAGAAAAAAAACCTCTTAAACATTAGCTACTGGCCTGGAAATAATAGAGGCTGAATCACAGCCCAGGGGGATCGGGTGATGCTAAACCAGTTGGAGTGATTGACTCAGCACTCACGCTTGCAGTAAAAGGTGAAAGAACTCATGTTTGGTTAGGAGGAAATGTTTTGAGTTTTTAGGGAATTACTACAGAGACAAGCCGAAATGTGTTGACGCCACAGGATGTATGACTAATGAGAATAAAAACTAAATTAAATACTCAAAATCATAGATTAAAAATGCATTTTTAACAGCATTTTGGAGTTTAACAACTAAATTGTGTAGTTTTTTCATACATTTTGAGTCTAAATAATATTTGCTACACTAATTTCCCATTTTCGATTCATTGTGCAAAACATCTCTGCTTAGAAACGAATTGAAAGCAAAGGCACAAACTTTAAATGACTGGAGGATTGCTCTGAACATTCATCGTGCGTGGGGTTATGTTTGTTTCACAGCATTTCAGTGGCATTTGGAGTTAAAAGAAAGGTCACTGATGCCCTGGTAGGGCTTTCAGCTTGGATCTTACTCCGATTGACCTTTCGACAGTGGTGTTAGTTTCAGGATTTTGAAAGTTCTCCCACACCAACCCTGTTCCCTGTAGTTATCCGTAACCTTATCAGGAAAAGCACTGGCTTGCATGACCAGCTCTTAACCTGTTGTGTGGGTGTACAGGACACTATACTGATGGTAATGTTGAGGTTTGGTAATAGAAGAAACGTATAGTTGCCATCCTTGGTGTTGTTAAGATGGTAAGTTTAGACTGAATCCCACCAAATACTATTGTAATTTAGTTTTGGTCACACCATGCCTCTTTACTTTGAATATATCTTAGTTTTTTTAATATTCTCAATTTTTTCACCCTCATGTCTCTTCAAAACCTGCATGATTTTCTGTCTTCTGTGAAACACAAAATAAGTCCACCGGTTGCTTTTCCCAAAAAAATTATCCAAAAGCACTAATCATAAAACTGATCCATATGACTGAAATTCTGATCTTTTCAATTAATTTGATCTTATTTGACTTTGATCAAGTTCACATTGTTAAAATGCGTCTAAACGTTTCGTACATTAACCAGACATTCCTATTTATCTCACAAACATGGCAAATTGGGGTTTTTTGTGAATTTGCATCAAATCACTGCCTTTTTCCTCATTTGGTGGGTGGCAGGTTTCAAGCTGGTTTGGCATTGGTAAATGATTTACTGGAAGTATCTGAAAATTACCCTTGGCCTATTTTGTATTGCACCAAGCCACAACAAAGGGAAGTGAAGATTAAATCATTTTCGGAACACAAAGGTGCACACCATAAATAATAGATTGCATTATTTCAGCTACCCCATTTCCTTTTAGAGAAAACATCATGTACACGTTACAACGCTGCCTAATTCAAGCAGATAAATAGTGGCTGTTAATGCATGAAAATGAAATTCAGCATTAACAATCACCATCTTTATTCTAATTTAAAGGGCTTTGATAACATATCTGTGAAAATAAAAGACATTACGAGTAAAAAAGACTGAAAATAAGTGCACGTTTGTGCGGGTAGTGAATATTTTCAGTTTCCAACAAAACTTGTTAATTATTCAACAAGAGAAATAAGCAGAGTTATTCATCATTGTGCAACAATTCGGATACCACATGACAACTTACAGTGTTTGACTTTTTCGTTTTTAACTCATTGCGACCTCTATGAAAATGATGGATACAGCGCGGGTGCGAGCATGGGCGTGTCGTGATGCACGAGTGACTGATTACCATGGAAACGTGAAAGTCACGTAGGCTATGTAGATAGACTATATTGACTCTTTGAATTTTAAATCTGGATGTATACACATTGGCCCACTTGCCCTATGAAAAACATCCCCCGCGCAATCTACGCCCATACAGCTGTCTGGCCTAGATTGACAGCTGCTGAGTAGAATGGGAGACGAGACAATACTTTGATTTTTTGCTCTATAAGATAATGATTGTCTGTGTGAACCTGCATGCTATGCCAATGCCACCCTCTGATTTCATCACAGTACTCATTTAGTATGACTTCTAATGTTTAGGGATGGCTTAGCAAGGGATTCATTGTTTATGTGGTGGGCAGTCAAGTAAGAATGCATCTGAAATCTTTTACAAGAGCAGGTCACAATTGTGAGTTTACTTTTATTCAGCCTTGGATAAGGTCTAATTGTAAATGCTCTGTTCACACTATTTATTCATTTATACATTAAAGGTGCAATGTGTAAAAATTTTGAGTATCTATTAACAGAAATGCAATATCACATCCATAACTATGTGTTCAGTGGTGTATAAAGAACTTACTTCATAAACCTTAATGTTTTTATTACCTTAGAAAAAGGCATTTATATCTCCATAACCGCGGGCACCCCCTTCTATGAAGGTCGCCATATTGTGACGTCATGTTTCTACCGTAGCCGACAGCGAACAAACAGCGTTACAGAGCGCGTTTCGTCACTACATTGAAAGAGAAGCCGCAGAAAGCTAGAAGCTAGCCATAGACACAGTGAGTAGTGACTTTTCCCTTGTCAGTGGTGTAATCCAACTAAAATATGTAGTTGGATTGTTTCATGTAACTTAGTTCTTCTCCCTCGCTGTGTTATGGCTTTGCTATGTGGGGATAAATGTGCTGGTTACGTTCGTGAGACAGCTGATTAGTAGGCTACTCTTGTCATTGACCGTAAAACAGTAACATGAATCACCAACCCGTCGATCGCGGTCGACAAGTCGATCTTGGAAGCATTTTAAGTCGATCGAGTTTCCAAAATCAGAGAAAAAAAGCCTATTGTGTGTAGTAAATGGTGTCTAGGGGATGCGGAGGCGCGCGCGCTGTTACAGTCATTTTTGCCGCACGCACCTTTGGGCTCATGCGGACGCGTCCAGTATAAACAAGGCTTAACGCTTTAACCAGCTCAGCCACAGTAACAGCTCATATTAGCCAGCTAAACTTTTACTACCCTGTTAGAAAAAATATATAGTTGCATAGTTTCATGTGGTTCTTCTCCCTCGCTGTATTATGGGTTTGCTATGTGGGGAGAAATGTGCTGGTTACGTTCGTGAGACAATCAGCTGATTACTATTATTATATTATCTATTAAGACCCTTCATCCTCACCTGACTATGGCTTTGTAAACTTTATCCATGATATGGTTTATAATGGACTGTGGTACAGAAACTTGGTTTACTCTGGCTATTCTCTGCTGTCTCAGACGACGATGTTTGTCCCGTTTTAGCCACCGTAGCTTCTTCGAAAGGGAGGGGTGAGCAGTGGGCTGAGCCCGTAGTGCAAACTCGCAACCGAACCGCTAGATGTCGCTAAAAATCACACACTGCACCTTTAATGATGCATTCCAATTTTAGTTTTTCATAATTGTTTTTAAATAAATGTAATAAATGGTGTTTTCACTCAAAAATTTGCTAGGCTAGTAAATTTCACAAATAATTACAAGAAACGACAAGTAAAACATTGAATTAAAACTTAAATAGTATTTTCTTGTAAAACATACTCCAACAATCTTTGTTTTATTTACAGCGTTGAAAAATCATTTTCTACAGTGTAGTAGATAATAGTTTTAACAAGCAGATAAATATCGAGAACCAAAAATGTGAATGAAAAGAGTGACTTGTCCATAGAATCATGAAGCCTGCTTGATTCAGGATATGTAAACTGCATTAAAAAAGTGATGTTTAAATGTAAAGGCCTGTTCACAAATTTTTGGTGTGATACATTTGGTGAGATAAACATTTCAAAGGTGCAGTCACATTTACATTTTTAGTGGTCACCCTAGACGGGAGTCATAAATGGAACATTGCACAGCACTTTGTGTACTAGAGTAACCAGGGTATTTCATCATTTCCATAAGTGCCTATGAGAGAGTGGAATTTTATTTTCATTCAGCCTGTCTGACATTTGTTGCACATTGGTTCGAATAGACAAATTGAATGCGAAATTCAGACCAGATTTTCTTGCCAAACACATTCATGTTGGTGTGAACCAGGCCTTAAATGCAGTAGCGCCTCAATGCAGTACATGAGATCCACGGGGAGGAGTCGAATCAAGATCCAAGGGGTGGAGATAGGTAGGATTAGGGGTGGGTTTAGGGATTAGGGGGCGGAGATGGGTAGGTTTAGGAATATGTAAGGTGGGAGGAGTTGGATCTGGATCCGACTCCTCCCCGTGGATTTCATGTTCTGCAGTGAGGAGCATCTCCTTAAAATGTGACTCTTTCTCTCCTCACAGGAAGAGGATATGCCAGAGGAAGTGAACATTGACGAGCTACTAGATCTACAGCGTGATGAAGAAAGGATAGAGAAGCTTAAGGTATCTGCTCTCTGAAAATACTGATGAAGAAACAATCAGAGTTGCTTGTCACATGTATGTGGTGTATATATTTTAACTAGCATTAAAGGAACAGTTCACCCAAAAGGAAATCATAATGAACTTTTATATGCAAATTCTTTCATCTTTTTGTTTTTCTTCTCATTTTCTGTTCCACATACGATTGAAAGCCATAGGGTTTGGGGACAACATGAATATATTCCTTTAACCAGCTAGATCTTTTTGGTCAAGCTCATACCAGCAGCCAATGGCGCCACCAGGGGGTGGCCAGGGGTGGCCACGGCCACCCCTGGCCGACTCCTGGCCACCCCACTGGCCACCCCAATGGCCAGAATAAAATTTAGTAGCATCAGTTATGCATTTCATAAATAAGTAAAAAATATTCTGTGTCGTGACGTGCTTTTTGAAGTGCCAAATTGTTACAGTATTCTGTGACAGCAGCTTTTTGATGTGTCTTTGCCACGTTTTGACAAGCAGGGATACAAACAGCGCGCCTCCCGCTTTTTTTTTTTTTTTTACGTCAGTTTGGGTGACAAAGTCATCTGAAGTCATTCCATAGCTTAATGTGAGGGACAGAAGTCTATTTACATCATTAAAGTATATGGAAACTCCTTTTCCCTTCTCTGCGGCTGTCAATCACTTTTCCATTCATACTCAAACAGCGCGCGCGCCTCTTGGATGCACGGTAAAACTCTCTCCAATATGATATATTCACATTATAATGCATGATCTGTAGATAAAAGGCTGTAGATTTGCATAAAATTACTTTATTTTGTTGGAGTTTGTTGTTGTTTTTAAACGACTCACTACCGTGTGCTTGCTAGATCATCACACACACATCACAGGGACTATTAATCGACATCAAACGCACAATAACTGGAATATAAAACTGAAACAAAGGAACAAATCGCACTAGGATTTGTGCGCTCGACATTTCTTCGCTTTGTGACGTGAACTTATAAATGCGCACTTATGCAGCGCAGCGCTGCACACATAGAGTCACCATGTTGCTTTGAGCACATCATTCTGCACCCGTGATGCGCATACAGGTGTGTGCGCTCTGTTTTTCATGTTATCATGGGTTTGAGCACTGAAATATTATTAAAAGCCAATATATTTTGTTATACCTAGCCTGCTCAATACATTTAAAATAAGCATAATTTAATTGTATATTATTTCTTTGTAGTGTAGGTTATATTTCTGAATTCTTGACATTAATATATAATTATAAAATTGTGAAATGTATGATTGCCTGATTGAATTTTATAAGAGAACTAATAGTAATTTGTTTTTTATTACCATATTTAGATTTTATAAAATTACTGTGCAGATTTTTTCAAGAATTACTTTTTGCTGCTGATTTATACACTCATTAAGTTTATTAAAAATTCATAGTACATTTATGTAATATTTAAAGGTGTATTAACTGTAATCTTACACTGCAAAATAATAACTTAAAAAGGATTAAATTCATCACAATTATGTAAGTATCTGGAAATTTGCCGTGGGGCGAGGGCCCTTATATATATATATATATATATAATATATATCATTATATATAATATATATTAGTAGGGCCCTACTAATATCATTAGTAAGCTAACATTAAATATAACACAATAAACCAAAGTATATAAGTAGGAGTTTCCTTAAGTCTTTCTGATAGTTTTCTACAGGCCGGTTTACTACAACAGTAGAATACAATTCTGAAATTATGGTTTATAGTTTTGGTGTGCCACCCCAAGATTTTAAGTGGCCCCATCTGGCCACCCCTATGAAAAATTTCTGCAGGCGCCACTGCCAGCAGCAAGAGCAGAATCAAACCAGCATAAACCATCCTGGACTATAAATTCATTTTCAACAGGGAAGAGATCTGTGTCACGCTTTTTATCAAATCTCTTGATTTCTTTTTCTTACAGGACATCCTTCATACCTGCAGTAACAACACAGAAGTAAGCTATTTTTATTCTATCACACAATTTGAATTAAACATCTCTCCTTTTTAAACAAAGCTGTTCTGTCCTTTTTTTGCACATAGTTTAATTTTTTTAACAAAATAACCCCCTGCAGTGTTTGACACAATGGTAAATCACTGTCACACTCTAGGAAATAGTGACTGACAGTGTTGAGGAATAGACAAAACTCTCATGTTTTGTGTTAAGGGATAACACATGTTTTGATTAAATGAAATAAAAAAAATCTGGCACTAGTTAAACATAGCCTACTATAATGCAATATTTGATGCGTTTTGCCACCAAATGATGTAGTTACAACAACTACCAGCAGGGACTAACTAACATATGCTAACCAGCCAAACCTTCACTTCTGTTCGACAACTCGTCCTCTGCTCCCCTCTATTGACAAATTTGATATTGACAAGTCAATAATTTTAAAAGCTTTTCTGGGGCTGTTCTTCGTACATGGATTAATCATTTATTTTGGATTTGACATGTTGACGATTTGACATGATCCAGGATTATTAGGTTCTTCGAATGTCAAAGTTTGCTCATAGCAAAAATGTCCGTAAGCCCAAACAGGACCAGGCTTATTTCACATACACAAGTTTTGACTGCCTGTCCAAGCCATTGCTACTTTCTTAAAAGAGCCCCCTATTTAACCAGGGACATTAATAATTCAAAATAAAAATGGAAATATGTTTTTATATATAATAATTTTAAAATTAATTAGAAACTAATTATAATGTTGTGAAGTCTAATTATAATGTCCAACTTTTCTCATTGAGAGATTTATTTGTGAGGGAATAATAATCTCATAATTGTATTGGATCCTTAGACACATTACATACAGTTAGTTTGAACCATGCGTAAATCTGAACGCTGACAGCTATTATACGGGTGGCTTGATGAAGTGCAGGAGATGCAGATAGCTTAAAAAAAAGGTTGTGCCATATTTTATTGACCCTTAAGAAGCTTTATCCGCATCATGTGTAAAATGAAATTAATTGCTAATTACAATAGGCTACTGAAAAAAAGTGTAAAGCCTCTAAAAATACTAGAAGAACTTGTGAAAAATGGAAATAATTGGGTATAAGAAACATTGACACATTTCATTTATCGATTTTAAATTTTATGTCATTTTGCCTGCTTGACTGTTTCCTTTTTTAAATTATATGATGTCATAATGTTACTGTGTTGATGCCAGCCAATCGCTTACATTGCTGATCATGGTTTGAGTATCAATATATATATACGTATATATATATATATATTAATGCCCTTTCCAATGATCACATGCACAGTAATATCAACTTCATCCAGATATTTTAATCAAATCTGCAAATTCACTTGAAGAACCAAATTATCCATAGATCAATGATCACAATTAGAAGATCTGGCATCTGTCAAATCAAGTGAATTATGAAGATCGGAGCCCAGGGGCCGGTTGCATAAACTTCTTAGACTATAGTCTTACAAGTTAGTCATCTAATTTGTTTCTTCAAGACTGGTCATAGCTTTTTTAAATCTGTTACATAATAGGGTAGATTGGTTTGATTTAGGCCTAATTTATTGCTAGTTGGTCAGACTAGTTCTTAAGACACCGTCTTAACTTGGTCACCGTCTCAACTGGCCCCAGGTCTTATATGGTTTACAAGTTGCTTGTTTTCATTCAGTTACTACTCTGTTGACACATTCCATCATGTCTTTCGGTATAAAGATTCTTCTATGATGTGCTTTTCCTCCTCATCTTCATCAGGTTTTTATCACAGAATTGGTGAATAAACTTCACGGTTTGCAGAAACAAGAAGATCTCCACAACAATGGCATTGAACATCCCCAGCTTCACGTCTTCCCTGACCGCCAGGGCTCTTCTGACACTGAGAGACTCTGAGCACCTGCACATCTACGGCTGGTCAGTCTCCTGTATCAAAACATCAGCAGCACTTCTGTAAAATATAGACAGGTTGCTGACTTCAGTTTGTATAGTAACAAAACAATACAAAACGTATAAAAATATTTATGTAAAAAAAAAAACTCAGAGTAAAAAACTGAGTGACTGAGCACAGCATGGACCCTTTACAAGTTGTCATCATTATTTTGACATTTTTAAACAGTGAAAAATGAGACTTGTTTGTTAAAACATATGTACTTCCCATAACATATAGCCTATTTGTTAATTTAACTATTTCTACCAGATCCTTTACAATTACATTAATTGGTATAACCCAATTTAGTCAGTGTTATTCTGTAATATTAAACCATTTATTTGACTTTAATGTAAAACATTTTTGGTTACCTGAGAAGAACAATCTTTACAGTACATAATATCCTTTTAAAAATAGTTTTCCCTTAGAAATATTGACCCCTGTGAAGGATTTTTTAAAAGAAATATCTGGGTTTTTAGATTATAATGAGTTCATGGGTTTTCCAGTAATGGACCAAATGATTTTTGTCAGGATGCTTTTTAGATTTCAAATCAGTAATTCCCTGTTGTGTTGTTTATATCTGTGAATTAGATTTTGTAGGATTAAATTATTTTTCTGAAAAACTATTGAATATCACTGATGAATTTATGATGCTTGATTAAAAATTGACAGCTTATACTTATGCCCAGTAGATATGAAGGACTTGGATAAAGACTGGTTTGTGACAAAACCATGAGGTATTGTTCATATGTTTGCTGCTACTATATTAACTACTCAAGCTGGTCAAATTTACTTCACATTTTGAAGGAATTTTCTAGTTTTCTCTTACAGCTCTGTATTTAGTTTGTTTGTTTGTACAGTGCCAGAGTGTCAGCAATTTCTCTTATCATGTTTCTTTATGTATCATGTTTTCATTTTCACTTGCTTGCAGTTAAGGGTTTTTGAAATCCACATTCCAGTGCACATCTCATTTTAAACATTGGACAGAAATAATAATAAAAAAAAAAATCTTTTGGTGAATATTTCAAGTTCTCCTGTTTGTTTTATTTTAAAATGTTGTATCTATAATGATATGAAATTAAGCAAAAAGTAATTATGGGCTATTGCTTTTGGAATCCCTTTGTTAATATATAACATATATAACCCATTAAATCTTTGTGAAATAAAATAATAATAAATCTACTATATGTATTCAGTTAATTATTATTATTATTATTATGTTTACTAAAGTACTTAATATGCCTAGCTTTATGGTTTTGCAACTTTAATATTCTACCTTTTAATTTCACACATATAATCCAATTTAAATAATGGTGGATGTATGAGTTTGTGAAACATGTATTAGCTCCTTGAACCTTTTATTCAGGATATATTATGATAAAAATATGGATTGATCTATCTGACAAAAGATGTTCTGCTATCCTGTCAAAAAGTTTATTGAGAGTGACAGCAGAGGGCAGCATTGAATCTGTTCATATCAAGAATCTATTTTGGTTACACAAGCTATTGATGTTATTATATAACATGAATGACTTACAAACCAGTTAAGATTAATAATCGAATAACTATATAAATTCAGAAGAAGCTCTTATTCAGCTTTCATGAACAACCAGTAAATCAGCAATAATGCTTAGGCCTATTGAAAGATGGAAAAACATGAATGACGGGTTTAAACTCTGTACAAAGTTAATATTTTGTATTGTTAGAATGTAAAACACATGGTATATCAGAAGCATACCATGTCAACAGTGAGGCCTGTCAACAAAGGGGGAAACAAACATTGTTTTTTCAAGATAAAGCTGTGTGAATTCTTTCAAGCAGCAAAGTCATGCTTGTTCCCATGATGTAAACAACATAAATAGCATTCATTACCACAGTGGTGATCAAAGCCCTCTGTCTATAGATCCGTGGGTCTAATACAATGCCGAGTCTCGCTGTAAGAAAACAAACAAACTACCCCACGCAGAGACCATGCAGGTGCACTCATTGACCCTGGCACAGCAACCCAGCAAGTCTGCCCTGCTTACTTCAACCCACAGTTGGGAAAACACCTTCAGATGTGCTAGGCCTGTGAGGACGATTAGCATCAACAAACATGCTTCAGACAAAAGCCGAGCAGGACAGAGGACTCCTACTCATTCAGATCCCCTTCCTTCACGCCATGCACCAGTACTGACCAATCATGTTAGTCATAATGAGCACACATATCCATGCCAGTCAGTAAAGAATTCAACAGAAAAATACTGTACTGCATGCATCCACGATTCCCAGAGTAATTAGTGGAGTCATAGTGCCCATGATCCCAGAGGCCCAAGAGGTGGTGGGGGAAGCTCCGAGCTGGTGGAAAGGAAAGGGGATGGCCGGCTTCCTGAGGAAAAAGCATCGTCTTTTGCGCTCCAAAACAACTCAGGAAGTGACCATAGCTAGCCTCGGGCTTCAGACGTGCATTCAGTTGGACAGCAGCACATGTATAGTTAGTAACTCTCAAGTGGGACACTTACAGTTAATCCTGTCAAACCAACACACAAATACATACACAGATACTAAACCTCTGGGGCACTGGGATGTCCCTGCTCTGAGACTTTTAGGGATTTACCATCGCTTCACTTCCAAACAAGGTAAGAGGAACGTTTTTCTAGTTTGACAGGGCTTTCGGACATTTGATTAGTTCAAAATTCAAAATGACAAGTGCAGGAGTGTTTTCAACTTCAGTAGTAGTTGTAGTTTGGATGTCATTGGTTTCGGTTGTTTCACTGGGCAACAAAGGTTATTCTGATGTCTTGGTGAGCTGAGTGGATGTTGTGTAGGTCTCAATGTCAGTGATATAACATTAATGTTATTAAGGCCAAGTATACTTCATTCTCCACACTTTTTGTACACTTCTCGCATTAATCCACTCAAACAAAACTGGAAAGCCTTATTGATATTTATAGTTGTGAAATATGACTAAGTATTCTTCTTGATATATTTACCATGTCTGTGTTGTGATGCTACAAAACCATGTGTTCACATGTGGCAGTTACTGATTCACTTTCTGTGGATATCACATCTCAAAACAATGGCCAGAAATCTAGTCATGGTAATCAGATGGGTTTAAAAACAAACAAAAAAAAATAGTGTTAATGTTACCACAAACTGCATAAGTCTTCAAAATTGTGTGCAAAAAATAAATTTGCATTTATATGACACGGAAATTACTTTAAAAAATGAAAAACAGAAGTGTGATTTGACTTGAATAACAAGTGAACCATTATTTAATTCTGGCTTATATTTTATTTGTTCTTTTTTGTTGTTCATTTTCGAGGATTTGTTATTTTTCTTGTTTATCGAGGGCATCTGCCTTACTTGAACAGTTTCTACCAATTCACAAATGAATGTGCCATAGAGCAGTGGTTCTCACCCAGGGACCCGAGGCCCACTAGGGGGCCTATAAGCAAACATCCAGGGGGGCAAAATAAGTCTTGAAATTATTTCAGTTTAGTTATATTAACATATTATTTCAAATGCTGGAAAACACTACAAAAATAAAGATGTACAACATTAACTAACATCATATATTTGATTTTATTTATTTTTATTACATCAGAAGCAATGGAGGTACATATCAGCTTAGAGTGTCTTGGACAAAGGGGGTCCTTGGAGTCAAACAGGAACCAAAAAGGAACCACTACCATATAGTTTGATTGGACACGACCTTTAACCTTTTACACGACTACAATTAGTCTTATACTGTACAAGTGAGTGAAAACAACACCTGTACCAGGAACAGTAAACAAGACAGATGACAGAAAACACAGCCATGACACGACGACAACCATAAAAACCCAGGGAAAGGCAAAGCCTTCCTCACATGCTGAGTGACGTTTTCCCTCACAAACCTCTTAAATTAGCTTTAACCTGACCCCCCTCAATGTAAAAGGTAACACTTGTGACGTCCATCCAGTCCATTCCCGCTTGCAGATGCCCACACTACAGCGAAACGGAATCAGGATGCTACCAGCTAAAACGGGCCCTATAAAGGATAACCCCCTGTTCCTCTGCTGGCATTCACCACACTGGAGTGTGTCAGTAAGGCTGCTCCTGATTGCTCGCTGCTGTTTTAGTGACATGACATAGAGCCCTTCTCTCAGCACAGATCCAGAGGGCTTTTCCTGTGGTCCGTAAGGAGCCCCATTGCAGGATGCAGGCGGGCTATGATTGGACCATCCTCTGCTGACCCTTCACTCAGGTGCCAGCAAGAGGTTGCATAATAATGGTGACAAATAGGGATGTGAGCACACCACTTTGGGAGAGAAACCAAGAATGGTGTGCGTTGCTGTAATGACAAGCAGCAATGAAAAGATATTTGAAAAGATACTTTTAAAGGTGTAATCAAATGAGATCCTCATTTAAACAAACACAAGTTTTGTAGATTGTAACTTTTGGATTTTTTACAGCTCGCAGGGCTTTTGTGAAAACTAGGTTATACTTCTGCATTTTTGTGATCCCAGCCATGGATAGTCGGATCGACAGACGGTTATTAACAGAACAGTTATTGGAAGGGTAGGTTTACCCTTGAAAATGTGATCATACTATGTCTACTCTTTAAACTACATTATGGTAAAAATGGAACACTATGGCAGCAACTCTTATGTACGCGTCAGCGTTTGCTTCATGGTGTTGGGCAGAACTGACAGAATCCTTCACTGGAAACCGAAAGTAACTCACTCCTGCCAATCATTTACTCTTTGAATTCTTGCACTCGGGAACAATACAAAAGGTTTGCTAAGAAGTATTTCCTACTTTAGCTTGGAGATATTTGACTCTGGAAAGCGTATAGCAGACCATGGATGGCAACATGGCCATGGCATTATGG